ACTATTTAACATCAGTCTGCATTTGATCAATTCCTAACTATAGGTAATAGTTAGAAATTGCTAAACCTAGCTTTTATAGATAATGCCTGAATTTCATACTTTGCCGGTAACATATATAACTTAAATTTGATCAAAAGTGTAGATACGAGGTGTCACTTATTCAACAATATCTGGTATAAATAAGCTGGAATCTTCACATATCATCCGCAAATGTATACAAAAAAAAAACATATCAGTACTCTAGAAAATTATTACTTTAAAAATTTTAAATATATTTTTGTTAAATGTGCAAATTTTCATTCAAATTTGTCTTGGCTATTTTTGAAAAATCTGTTTCGTAATTTAAATAAATTTCTACCATACAAATTTTTAGTATTTCATTGATTGGCTTAAAAATGTTTAAAATAGAGTAATTCATAAGTACTTTGACAAACTTCAGGAAATGATTCTTTGAGTAATTTTAAGGTAAAAAGTTCATATAAACATGTATGTGTCCGAAAATGGATGGTTTTCAAGATACAGAGTGTTAAAGTTTTAAGAAAAAAAATCGTTTTTTTATCAAATCTTTCATACCACTGAAGATAATTTAATGAAATTTGGTACACGTTGTTTTACCATAAAATGACATTTTCTGATGCTATTAACTTTTTTTTTATTTTCATCAGTGGCGTCCCTACGGTATTTAAACTAAATATTATTGAAGAGAAAAATGGTACGCCACTGGTTTTTTAAAAAATAAAAATTATTTTAAAATCTACATTTAATGTGAAACAAATTCCATCTCTTGACTTTTGTTCGTAAGACGCACGGTTTTCGCGTAAAAAAATAAAAACCATTTTCATACATGACTAAATCGCTAAAAATTTTTTGAGCATACTTCTATCACATTTTTCAGTAAAAAAATCGATTTCCCTATCAAATTTATGTAAAAAAGCTACCCTTGGTAGAAGCCGTTACGTTTTCTAGATATTTGGACTTGAAATCTTCAAGTCAATTACTTAATAATCGATGCATGTTGAAGTTATCAGCATTATTTTGTTTTCACAAGAGTGCCTAGAAATGAATGTGACAGTTAAACACTCTTCGTTAAGTTTTTTGGCTTTATCACTTAAAATATGTGTACGACAGGAGTGCAAAGTGAAAATGTTGAAAAGTGAAATGTGGCCCAAAAATGTGCTGCTAAAGGTTTACGAGTTTTTTCGAGGACAAAGGCAGTAAGTCGTTTTATATCACATTATGCCATCTTAACTTCAAAAGTCTCCGTAATAAAATAGATCAACTTGAAGAACTGATCGTATCACTAAATTACCCCGATATTTTTTGTATTAGTGAAGTTTGGTGTGAAGAATTTGAACTAATATCTATTTTCATTGATTTATATAAATTGACTGATTATTTTTGTCGAAAAGATAAGCAAGGTGGCGGTGTCGCAATTTTTGTTAAAACTAAATTGGAATACACAATAAAGTCAAGTAAAATAAATAAAATCGATGAAATTTTTGAATATGCTCTAATCGATTTACAAATTAATAAATTTTCTTTTACCGTAGGCTGTTTTTACCGAACATCGCCAGATATTGCTCAATTTTTAAGTAACATTGACTGTCGTCTATTGTCTGAAATAGTTAAGGGTGATAAAATATTCTTAATGTGTGGGGAATTCAATGTAAATTTTGACGAAAACATTTACGATGTTAATGCAAAAAGATTAAGGAACATTTTTTTAACTTATGGTTTACATCAGTGTATTTTTGAATATACACGTATAACAAATCAGACAAAGTCAATAATTGACAATATTTTTTCTAATTTAGAAAAACAAACTTTTAAATGCAATGTTATACGCACTGATGTCAGTGATCATTTTTTACAACAAATTGTTTATGACACCGAGTCCGGTTCGGAAAGTTTTGATGTCACTTATGCATTGAAACGTAAGGTTTTTAACGCTCAGAATATTTTTTACTTTAAGTATTTGCTATCAAATGAAAGCTGCAGTTTTGTGAATGAAAATACTTTATCATGTGATAAAATGTTTGGCCTCTTTTACAGTATATTTGTGGATATTTTTGAAA